CTCAAGCTTTCAGCAATCTTGCATCAGCGTCTCTTGACTTTGCAAGAGGAATAATTAATGGAAGCAGGATTGAGGAGGTAGAGAGAGGGGCTGTGAAAGATGTGTTGAGTCAACTAAACCAACTAGATCATTATTCTCAGATGGCCAAATGTCTGTGGGCCGATTAGGGGGAAATGAATAAAAGAGAGCTGCACTGGTCATTTGTTGTCCCAAGTTCAAAGCCACTGACTGAAACAAACAAGTGAGCAGAAAACTAAACAGATCTTAAATCTTTGACCTGGTGTGTGTTTGAGTGGGATTCTTTAAATGCAAACATCTGCCTAAAGCTCTGTGAGAGCACTATAAATGTTTACTGTTTCAGTGGCAGCAAGAAGAGCTGTTTATGAGATGTAAAACGATGCTTATGATTCTGTGTGCGTGTGTCTGTGAATCGCAGGCTGTTGTGTGTGAGGGAAGGAAATGCTTAGAGACAAAGTGTGTTGAAGTAGGTTATGACTAGCCAAAGTGAAAATTGCCGTGTGTGTGTGTGTGTCGTGCTGTGTGTGTGTCGTCGTCGCTGTGCTGTCGGTAGTCTCGGTGCGCTGGTGTGCTGTGTCGTGTGTGTGTGTGTCGTGTGTGCGTGCGCGTGTGCGTGCGTGCGCGTGTGCGTGTGCGTGTGGACTGCAGCAGTTTGTTTTGCTGACAGCAGCATCTCTGTGGAATCACAACTAACCTCAAACTCACCTTAGACACACATTCACTCACTTTCTATCACACAACAACACAGTCTCTCTCTTTTTGTTTCTTTTATATGGAGCATTCAGAATAATTAATTGTAAATAGTGAGAGGACACCCTTGATCAGCCCTTTTCCTCATTACCATCTGCACTGAGGACACAAGGTTCCTTTATTGTAATTGTATTCTTTTAATTTAATAGAGCAGACACTGATACTCTTGCCCTATATATGTGATATTTACTACACTATACCAATACAATAGGTTCAGGCCAGTTGTTTACACAACAGCAAAAATTTACATTTGGCCAAATACCAAAATGCAGCAGACACTGTGGGAGCTGGACTGAACCATCTTGAAACTGAACATAAAAACAAGCAGAAGTAATTTTTAAATGTTACTGCAGTATATTAACAGCTAATATATGGAGGTCACAGACCTAGATTACAATAGGATATGAAGCCTAATATTCTTACATCTCATATAAAATATGGTATTCCTTATGGTTTCTGTAATACAAAAACAGTTCTGTTAAATTATGCACAAATCCTTAATGGTTACATAACCAGTAAAACATGCAGGGGCAGTAATATGTCACTAATCTTTTAAAGGTCAGTTGCTCCACATAGAGCTTGTATTTATAGAGATGTTTTTAACACAGGTTAGAGGAATAGATAGAAGCTGTTTGTAATATTATCTATCTGTCTTTTTTTTTTCTATTGAAAATAAATCAGAAGTTCATTAGTCAGCCCTCAGCTGATGCAGTAATCAGCCACCAGAGAGATTCTTCCTGCTGTGATCATGCTGCGGGATCTGGTTAGCAGACTGCAGATTAGCCCGATGTGATCTGAGTGAACCTGGCCAGGATTCATTTTACTTTGCCGTTCACCTCAGATGCTGTTAGGATGTAATTGATAAATAAATTAGTGGAATAAAAATAAATAAATAATCAGTTTTAATCTCGTTTTATATCAGAATCATCAGATCTGAAGGTGAAAGTGGTTGACTGCTGATAATGAGCATAATCGGTCATCTCCGCTTGGAAAAACAAGCAGACCATTTGTTTGCTTTTGAGACATTATCAAAGACAACGTGACAGTGTACTTTAAAAGGGTTTACAGTATCACCGCCAAGGAACAGCAAGCTGAAGGTGTGACTCCTTAAGATGTTATCAAGGTCTTATCTCTGTGTTAGGCTCCCACTGCAGTCAGGGCTGTAGGCCAGTAGCTGATCTAATCCAACCTACTTGGAGCACTTTTGAAAGCCAAGGCTTTATTTGCCAACAAGTGCTTTTTTGGCACCCAACATAGGGGCAGCATATGCAATCAAACATGGATCTTTATCTAATTATCATGTTTTGAATAAACAACAAACAGTTCCTAACTCCAGACTAAAAGGCAGTTTTTCACTGCTGTTGCACCTGTAATCACACCAAAAGTGACCTGACACACCCTGGAGTACACTGCAGCAAGGTGAGAAGTTGAACAACGTCGTACCATTTTCAAACCAAATGTATCTGGTTTCTTGTGTATATATTTTTGTCAGAGTGAGGACCAGTGGATTATTTTTGCCAATTTTTAGAAAAGACAAAATTTAAAAACAATGGACAAAAGCATATATAGAGACACAATAATAATCGGGACGGATACATTATCAGCCAATGATGAGAAATTGATATTATTATAAATGATCAGTTGATATTAATAATCATTGGAATTCTTATGCAAAACGATTGATAGACTTTGTGTTCTTTAAAAGCCAAAGTATGTTTCGTCATTTGTTGTTGTTGAGAAATAGTGATGCTGGTTAGGTTTGGTTAGAGTAGAGCTATGAAACATTAAAACATCCATCTTTTCTTACTTCTTCTTTTCTCATGATTTTTTTTTTCAGCCGATAAGATAACAATATATATAATAATTACCTATCGTGCATTCCTAATAGAGACTGATTTGTGGTCAAATTTGACATTTGTCGTTTTCCTGAACCAAAAGTGGCTTTGTAAGATACTCGATTCACTTCTGTCCTTGTGGTGTCAATCACAGCTTCGACATAATAAGACACAACCGGAACCTCTCGAAAACCACTTTCCCTTACATCAGGGGACTTAGAATACTCAGTCCTATCTGCCCTTCATGGTGTCCTCGACAGGGAAGGAATGCCCAGAAGGCCCCTGTAAAGGGTGTCATGCGTGGTCCTTTAAGGCTCAACTGACGCTGATAGAAATGTTATCTCTGCTGCTTAGGGAGCTCCAGGATGGCAGCAAAACCCCAAAGGCCACAACAGCATTTTAAATCAAGTCTTCAGGGGCAAAATGGTGTAAGGTCAGATATGATCTTTGCTACTTAAGGCACATGGCGATTATGTAATGTCCTTGAGGACCCTATCAGGGATCTATTGTTAGGCATGCAGCCACCCAGTGTGGCCCCTCAGGGTACAACTCCGCAGGAGAGCGTGCTGTCAGATGCTATCGGTGCTTTAAAGGGTCAGTCGCTGCTGTAGGGAGCCTGCAGGGCGTGTTCTCTGCGTTGAGTAACAGGAGAAGAATCGGCAGGAGAGTTTCAAATGACAAAAGATCTGATCTCAGAAACTTAGTCTGGATATTTTTTGATTGACTTTGATTTAAATATTTGTCAGGTGTTGGAGAAATGGGCAAAATAGTGGTTGGCCTTACATAAAGTCAGAAGCTAATTTAAATTTATCCAAGTACTTCTTAATATTTTGACTACTGTTGTTTTTTCTTTTTTGGCAGGTTTATTGTTTGATTTCAACAACACTAGTTCCTCTCTTTCTCTTTCTGTCTGGTTCTTCATCACATAAACATTTAAGATCAAGGTTACAGTGTCAGAAGGAGAATGTGAGATGCTAATGTCAGTAAGAAAGGAGAGAAGATTAAAGAGCAAAGAAAGACTGCAGAATGGCAGAGAAAGGACAATTTGAGAAAAACATAAACAAAGGGTAGAGATGATGTAAACATTTTGGTAAAAAGCATGGTAGGGTGGAATGAGAGGAAGGGGAATGGGAATATGGGTGCTTAGTAGTGGTAAAAGATGAGTAAATGGAGAAATATCAAGGGTAATTAGATCATTTTTGTTTGGATAAAACATTTAATTAAAAATAATTTTAATGGATGAAAAGGACCCTAGAGAAAGAAAGGAGGGCAGAAAACAGCTAAAGGAAAGAAAGAATAGCAACAAGAAACAAGAGAAGGATGAGAAGAAAAGATGGAAAAAGAATAAAGATGGAGGGCATAATTGTGTCCTATCTGCCATTAATAATTCAGTGCGTATCGATCAACCTGAGAACTTCTTACTGCATTAGGAGTGTGTGTGT